TGCCAAGCGACGAAAACCCAACCCCGATGGCAAACACCGGGGGGGCGGTTGCCAGGGGGGGGGGTAACAATTTCAACAAGCATGCCGTGGTCGTTGGACCATTGGCCTCGCATCCTTACAATGCCAGGACGGAGGGATATACCGGGTTTCTCACGGGGGGGGTACCTGTGTTTTGGGGATGCGTTTCCTGTTCTCACGCCCTGAGTGTTGCGCGGGATTTGTAGTCGACGTACGGTCTTTCTCAGAAATGTGATGCTGGGGAACCAAACAGTACTACCAAGTGTTTCAGGTATTGCCCGACAACAACATGCAAGGTCGCTCGTACGAAAAATTAATGCACTTGAAAAATGTCCCGCGCTCCACCGCGATTCTTTCTGGTGTTGGTTGCGACGCCCCGGGTGTTGGTGTCCCAGCAGGTGGTGATCACGTCGGGAACCCTGTCTCCTCTCGACCTGTACCCCAAGCTGCTGGGTTTCAGCCCCGTGGTTCGGACGGCGTTGTCGATGTCCACCGTGCGGAAGTGCATCTGTCCCCTGGTCGTCACGAGGTGTGGGCGGCGTGTGCTTGGACTTGTGAGACTGATGGAAGTGACATGTAGTCGAGTGAGAAATCGCACTCCGGGAATCGGTGGGGGTAGGTAGGTAAGAGGGAGGGTGATAGAAGCACAATCGCCGGGCTTCGCCATGCATGGAAGCATCCCGACCGTGTACCTGGTAATTTCTGGACGCTCTGTCTGGCGCACAACTATGACGTGAGGCACATTTGTTGCGTGTGTCATTGACGTAGTCTCACCCGCGTTGGAGAATCGCCTCTCGGAGTTGCTGTCCCTTCCTTGCTTGTTTTGGCAGAGGATAATATCTATATTTCCGTTCACCCCCACCCCTGCCCATCTATGCCGCCCCATCTCTGTAGGGGGTCGGATCAGCTTCCTATGAGCACCAAGTTCGACCAGAGAGATGACCCGTCTGTCGTCAGAAACTACGGTGCTCTGACGATCGAGCTGGCTGCGATCGTTCCGGATGGCATTGTCTGCTTCTTCACCAGGTATGGTTTGGGTGATTGCTGTAGCTGCTGCTGCTGCTATCGTGATGCTGTTGGGGTTGATGATAGCGCTGGGTGGTGGTTTTCGTTGTTGTTGTTGTTGTTGTTGTTGTTGTTGCACCAGTACACCTACAGAGAGGTGCCTTGTCTTGTTTCCGTTCTTGACCCCGACGCTGTCGTGGTTGTACCGACGCCTTCCTTTCGGTTCCTTTTTTTTATGATTTGTTATTCTATTCTCTCACGCGTTCTGTGCATGTACAAACCCAGCTTCTTTACCAGTAGATGATTCGTCGAAGTAGCTGCAGCTCGATCGCGTACTTGAATGATTCCAATCGACTGGCACTTCATCCAAACTTTGAGCCTTTTGTGCGTCCGTAGTTGTGCTCGAGCTGTGGCGTTTTTTTTTTTCCGCATGTTGACCTACTGCGCACGCGTGTGTTCTGATATGCATAGGTTCTACTTGTCCCTCTCGTCCGGTGCGGTGTGTGTGTTTGACGCGCCCTCCCCTCTGTGTTTTACGTACCAGGCTCCGCAGCAAGGCTATCGCTCTGTTCCCAAATTTGCTGATCTTCCTCCTCCCTGTCTCCTTTTTTTTTACGGTACCGCAGTTACAGCTACATGGAAATGATCGTGTCGAAGTGGGACGAGCTTGGCGTGCTGAAGAGGGTCCTCGAAAAGAAGCTAATCTTCATCGAGACAAAGGTGAGCTTTTGCGGCGTCTCTTGCTGCAAAGAAGCCAGTCTTCTTCATCGAAACCAAGGTGAACTCTTGCGGCGTATGTCCGCTCAACAACAGTACCGTATGGGTAATCCCGTACCGACCTCTCTTGTCTAGCCCGAGGTTCGTTTCTTGTGTCCTCGGTGGGGAACACGAACAGTGTTTTCTCTTGGTTTTAGCATTGGGTTGTTGAAGGAGCACCCTGTGACTCCATCAGATGACGGAGTGCCTCGTCCAGTTCAGTTTCGTCAGCCTGAATTCCACCGTTTCCCAGTTTCGTTGTGGGCGTGGGCCGACGGTTGTATCGCTCATTGTTTCCTCGAGAAGGACTACCAAGAGCATTTTCAGCGCAGGCAACACCTGCGATAGACTGTTTGCATCAGCTACGGCGAAGGTGCCTCTAGCCAGTGTTCCGCTGCGGATGGCCGTCTTTCGCTGCACCTGTGAACCATCCCTGCCACTAGCTGTAGTCACCCACGTGCCAAGTTCCCAACGACGACGCCTTCGCCGCTGCCACATTCTTGAAACTCTAGCTCTTGTTTTCCCCCCGACGTGTTTGGGCCACTCGGATTCCGTAGACCTACATTCTCTCCCGGTTGTGTTGGCCACAACGATGTCGTTTATGGACGAGGAGTGAAACATAATATTCACAATGGCCGAAATATGAATTTCATTGAAGCATTTCTTTGGTGGAGTGAAAAATTGGTACGCTTTTGTGCGATGAATCAGGACGTGGTGGAGACGACGCTTGCTCTGGACAACTTCAAGCGTGCGTGCGACTGCGGGAGAGGGGCGATTTTTCTTTCCGTCGCCAGGGGAAAGGTGAATGAGTGAGAGGAACCCCAAGGCACATAGCGAGGCGTAGGGGGCACTCGGCAATGAAGGAGATACACGGTAGTTGTGCGGTGTGTCTTGTAGTGGGCTCTCAAGAGGTACAAGTACTGACATCGAAGGTGTTCGATGATGTGATTGATTGGTGGGATTCCCTCATGCAGCGAGCGAAGTCGCTTCACGGGTTGTGCGACAGAAGGAGGTACGCGTGTTGCTTGACTTCAATTCAAGTCACATTGCGTAGCTGTGGCTGTAGCTGTAGCTACCATTTTGGGGCTGAGGCGTTGGCGTCGCTGTCGCTGTGGTCGTGTGGTGATGTTGCTTGATGGTGTTGTTGTATTCACGTGCCCATGCATCGAAAGGCAGCATCGAAGCCGGCAACAGCGCACTGTCTGCAGCGCTACAACAAGCAACAGCAAGCGCCCAAGCAAGCCGACCACAACAACAACGACTTGAACGCCTTGAACGCTCCATGTCCTCTTCTTCTATCTCTGTTCAGGTAGCGGAGGGTATCGATTTCGACCGGCATTACGGCCGTGCCGTGGTGATGTTCGGTGTGCCCTTTCAGTACACCCTTAGCCACGTGCTGAGGGCAAGGCTGGAGTATTTGAGGTCTACCTTTCAGGTGACATGCGTCCACGTGCACGGTTCCTGTATTTTGCTTGTTCGTTTGCATTTTCGCAGCCGCTTCGCATGGCTTCATTTTTTGCTGAATTTCTTCGGAGCACCTGTTGTTGGTTATCATGATTCCTGCAGACGCAGCCTTTGTCGTTTCGAGTATCGGGTACCGTACCTTCTTGTGCCCATTTTTTTTTTTTGTCCCGTTGTTCCTTGTTTGTCCTCTTCACGGACCTACCGTCATTTTTTTCTGTGGGCCGCTGATCTCAGATTCGGGAGGGGGACTTCTTGACCTTCGACGCCATCCGGCAGTGCGCGCAGTGCATCGGGCGCGTCATCCGCAGCAAGACGGACTACGGCCTGGTCATCCTCGCCGACTCCCGTTACAACCGGCACGACAAGAGGTAAGCATACGGTACACCTTTTCATCCCGTTACAACCGGTACAAGATGTATGCATACACATTTTCACCCCGTTACAACCGGCACAAGATGTATGCATACGGTACACCTTTTCATCCCGTTACAACCGGCACGACAAGAGGTAAGCAAGCATACGGTACACCTTGTCATTCTCTTCTCGGTCGTCGTCTCGGTGAGCCTCACTACCGCTGTGGACAAGGCTTACCCTAGGAGGCGGAGAGATGACAGCCTCCTCCTCCAGATCGACTCTCGAAGCTTCATTTCTCCACAACCTAGGGGCTGGGGTATGGAAAAGAGCCCGACCCGTCTAAGGAAAGCCCTCGACGAGATGCTTCCAAGACCAACATGCCTGTTGTTCGGCACAAGCGTGCCTATGGAGCAATCGAGCTTTGAAAATCATTCTCGGGGGAGATGACATCTGTCCGCCGCTTTCGGTAGTACCCTTCCTTCGGAGCTGCTCCAGCTCATTATTTTGCGCGCTGCCCCCAAACGTGTGCTGCCGCTGTTGCTCGTTTTCTGTATCTCGATGAGTGTCGATGCAAGCTAGCATCACCAATAGTCAATCCGCTCTAACCCCATCCATAACCCTTCCACCCTAACCACGCCCATCACTTCCTACTTGTCTTTTCAACTCTCCTTCCTTGGCAAGGTCTATGTTACCGGCATGGGTTCTTCAGTTTCTCCGCCCCTGCTTCTCGTTTCTATTTTCCCATGAGTGCCGATGAACGCAGAACAGTTCGTCAAGGTGGCACTGCCGATACCCGCATCCATGACCAAATATGCTATTGAACAAGACCTTGATTCATCTCCCCTACTCGGTTGTGCTCGACTGCCATGATCAGATCTAAGTTGCCGGGATGGGTTCTGCAGTTCCTTGATGAGACCCACCTCAACATGTCGGCGGACAACGCGGCGGCGATGGCGAGGATGTTCCTCAAGGTAATAGGCCGCCACAACAGACATTATTGCCTGCAAGGTTGACCGGAAGACAAGTAAAGAAGAGGCGCCTAGCTGGTGGCGAGCAATCGAAAGGCGTAAGAAGATTGGGTAGCAATTTTTGAGAGGCCCACGACGATGTGCGCACGCGTCTTTGCTGTCATCAATGCCTCCAAGGATTCCGTTCCCACCAACTCACATCCCGACTCTGTGGTACTCGTTATCCTTCTTTTTGGATAGACATGTCGTTGCGGTCGTTCAGTCCTAATAGTCGCCACTGATAAATAGTTGTTCGTAGTCGAGAAACATCGCCGGGTGGTTCCCACCAACCCACTTCCCGACAATGTGTGGTAGTCATGATCCTTCTTTTCGGATAGACATATCTTTGCGGTCGTTCCGTCCTAAGAGTTGCCATTGATAATAGTTGTTCGTAGTCGACAAACATGGCCGTATTGCCCCCCCCCGCCGCCGTCGCCTGCATACCCTCGTGCTGTTTCTGTATTGTTGCTGCGTACGTCCTTATCCTCCCCTTGATAGTATATCTTGTGTGAATTTGCTTGTTTTTGTTTTGGTGCGCTGGTACACAAGACCAAGCTGCGGACATGTGCAACGAACCAACGCACTCACGAGACCCTCAAAACGCGCGCGGACGCCTGCAACAAACCGCAGGACATGGCCCAGCCGCTGGACCCTCTCCGACTCAAGGGCACCATGCTGGACACCAAGAAAGTGGCAGCCAGAAATCGCGAAAAGACCGGGAAAGCGCAAAGAAATCCCTCGGAGCTGAACCCGTCGGCCGCGGCGGCGGCGGCGGGGGGCGTGGGCGCGGTGGATGGAATGGAGGTCGAGTAGTTGTGCGGGGAGGCGATGGTGCGGTCACTTGCAGTGCGGCTGTGCCGGGGGGGGCAGTCGTTGTGTATGGGTGATCGTTTTTTCAAGGCCGCTCGGGGGACGCTGGAACCTTACTGGAAGCAGTTACAACTTCTGCGTGGTCGCTTGAGTGTGAGGTGGACGTGCATGCATGCAAGAGAGTAGGCAGAGATGTGTCCCTGAGAGAAGTGGGGTGTGTGTGAATTGTGTGCATGGTAACCTTTTTTCCGTCTTGTAGTGTTATATGCTACACCTCCTCGAATCACGTTGTTTTCTTGAATTGTGTGTCCGACGCGCGGGCACCTTTTCGGGCGTGTTCCCTTGTTCGTATCCGGCTGTCGTTCAGTCGTCGACAACTATGGCTTCTTTTTGCCGCGCCTACGGGAGCTTTGTACTTGAGGGAATCGACCGGTGGTGCAAGCTTTTTCGAAACATCCACACACGACGTAACCCGTTGGCAGGCCTGGTTTTCGTCGACAACTCGTTCCTGCGGAATAGGCCCAGCGCGGTCACTGCATTCCACAATCCAGAGCGAAAACGTTCTCGGAGCCGGACTTCATTCGGGATCAAGTGCCTGTTCCGAGCCAACCCAAGCTGATCCTTGGCGGGGGGCTCGCCAAGCGAAAAAATGACCCGGTCTTCCGGAAATTTGTTAGCCGTGAACGCGCAGGGTACGAACCACCTCGACGCCCACACAACATATTCACGAGTATCCCCAGTTTCGGCGGAAAGGATTGAACCTTATGTTCTTGTCCGCCCAGGTATTCTGGACGCCGGGGTCCACCTTTCGACATAATCTCTGGACGCCCCAGCGGGGGTCAGGACGAGGAAGGCCACGCAGGAACCTCACGCCCCAAACATGGTTCTTCCGTGGTAATGAAACACATGCACACACACAATATGCGACTATCTGCCGCTCCCCTCTGTCTCTCACAATGTGGTAGGAGACTCGACAATAATGTTACATGTTGGACAGACATGCTCGAGACGCTACAGAACCCACACCATAAACAAGTACGCTGTAACCTTCGAGGGGGCGAATATCTATATCCCAAATGTGAACTATGGTTCGCACACGCACGCCAAAGAACGTTACAACTTCAATTGCACCACACTGCACATGTGTTCCTTGCGGAAAAGGACAGACGTTAAATTTCACCATCAGGTCTGCAGTACACTTACCCATCATTCAATTGAGTGCACAAGGCACCTGAACCTTCCCGGATCCCTTGCCTCGAAATCTTCGATCGCTTCCATCACGACCGTTCATGAAGTTGACAACAACGACAAATATCGTCCACCCCCAACCTGTTCAATAATACGAAAGTAGCAGTGACTCCGGGATATTGAACGCCACCCCTCCTACCACCACCCCACGCCAAGGGGAGACGCGGCAAGTAAGACGCATGCCCAACCCGCTGCGTTTGAAGTATTCCATTGCTGGATAGACAAATACACATACAACGGCAAGCGATCGCCACTCACTGCGAGAAATACCTGAAGCAGTGAAACGAAATCAACCCCGACTCTCCGCGAAAGCACTCCCCGGCCAGAATGACTCGATGCACTCTTTTCGCGAAGTGGAACCCGCACAAAGGCAAGTGGACAAACCGGCCACACTCCCAACAGCGCATTTTCAACATTAGGAGGACTCCATCTCCTTCTGAGTGCCTCTAAATTTGGACATTTAATCCTGGACGTTTAATACTTCTATGTCATATTGTACGCAACGTACCACCCGCGAATCAATTAAGGTTAGCCACCGTTTCCTAGAGACTTCCAGCCATCCGCCGCCCCCTGGCCCGCCACGCACGCATACTCCTGCCGCCACCCCTCCTCCCTTCCATCTGCTGCGGCCGCTCCCGTTGCCCATTGGCGTCTTCTGTTCCCGGAAGCGCGCCGTCGTGCGGAAAACCCTCACCATTGAAGCCGGCCGGGGAGGACCAATCGAGGGGAGGCCCCCCCGGGGATCGAAAACTCTCCGCGATCAAGGAAGCCTTGTGCATTTCTATCCTGTGTTTGGTTGGTGGCGACAACCGGCGCGGGTGGGGAGGGTTATAGGAATTCCTTAAACCCATACTCGATGCTCTCCGGATGAAATGGAGGAACCGTGTGAAAGTCGCGAGTGAGTACGTGTGCATCTGGGGGACCCTGCGGGGTTGGTCGCGCAGTTGTTGTTGTTGTTATTGTTGTTGTTGTTGTTGTTGTCTTAACATTAAAAACCGTTCCGATTTCTCTCCACCCAGTACCTTCGTATGTCCGTTCTGATACAACACTCGACGCGGTCGATTCCCGGGGTCGCAGGGTAACTTACCCTAAAAGGTACACTCAAATAAAATGGCCCCGAGGGGTCCGCAAGTCAATAGAAATCAACGACAGATATTGTGGAATCCTCCACTCCCTCTGCGCGCTATGCGAGGTAACAACTGAGACTAGGGGTCACCACCACGGGCCGGAGAGAATGAGGTACACCCCCTTGGTTCAATCTTGTTACTTCACAACGCAAGCAGAGACAAGGCCATCTGGCACAGTAAGAGAGAGAAAAAGAGAATAAGAGAAAAAGAGAAGAAAATAAAAGGAAACAGTAAGAAAAGAGAAAATGAAAAAAAAAGCGAGGACAAAAAGGGACCAGGCCGAAAATAACAAGATATACGAGACAGGAAAAGGCACACGGTGGAGAGACCACTAATGACAAGCAAACACGCAAACATGGCCACCAACCA